ATGTGTCTCCTGTCTGTGCCACGTGCTCACCTTTTCTACGCCGGGTTTTACTTACGGAATTATTATTATCACGGTAGACAACGGCGATATATATATATATATATATATATATATATATATATATATCGCCGTTGTCTACCGTGATAATAATAATTCCGTAAGTAAAACCCGGCGTAGAAAAGGTGAGCACGTGGCACAGACAGGAGACACATACACGTACACGCGCGCGTATCTGGCCCAGTCGCGCGTTCTCTAACCGGCTGTGTGCGCAGAAAAAGTTAACGCTCGGCTGCAATAAGTCGCATGCATTCCGCATTTCTCGTCGCAGGCGGTTCGCGCACAGCTTGTGTACAAGCCTCGCGGGTTACGTTTCCTGCTGTTGCGCAGCGACACGTGCGGCAAGGCAACCTCGTCGCGATAACTTCGAAGCTTCAGCCCGAGAAAGGCTCTAGACGTTCTGTCATATCAATTTTCCAGTCTATATATCCTTGCTTGTCACGCTCATTCTCTATAAAGTCGAACTCTTCCTTTTAACTGCCTATGGCTCGCGTCGATTTTTCCCGCGAATTTCGCGAAATTTAAAGAGAGAGAGAGTGTGTGTGTGTGTGGGAAAGAGGGAGCAGTCTCTATAATAAACATTAAGTATCTGTTTCTTCAAATATTTTAGATTAACCCTTTAACTCCAGGTATTTCCAACGTAGCTCTCCTGCGAAGACCAAAAATTGAGAAAAATAAAATAAAAACAGACCTTACTTCTCGCCCTATGATTAATAAACGCTTCTCTCCTCTCTTCTCCTTTCTCTCTCTGTTTCTCTCGTTTTTCTCTTTCATATTGCGAAAAGCGGCGGAAGGTGGCTAGACCAGACATCGCCCATCGCCGTCTCCGTACAATTGCGGCGAGCCGCGAGGCAGGAATGACGCGCGCGCGATTCTATCCGAGTTAATCACGTTTAACGGAGCTAAACGCGCGAACACATTCGTCGTCGCCACAGAACGCGCGCTAACAATAGACGCGTCTGCCGCCCGAGATGTTAAGTAACCGCTTCATTTTTGCCGTGGCTCGCTTTAGGGGAGTGTGAGAGGAAGAGAGCGGAGGGGAGGGAAGGAGAGAGAGGGAAGAGGAAGAGAGAGAAAGACGGAAACGGAATGCAGCGAGCAGCCGGCGAGATCGCTCTCTTGAACTTAACGCGAGAACCCGGCAACGAAGTGACCCCGTTTTGCACAATTCCATAGGATATATTTCATTTCTCTCTTCGTCCCAATAAACCCGCAATTATTGAACCTCTTTCCGCGAATATTAAACTGAAGAACTTAACGCGGAGTCGTAATTCTAATTGGAGGCGAGCGTTCCACCACCCGTTTCTCGCGAATATTCCCAAGTCGTAGAACCGTTTCCGATAACTTCGTCGCGTATCGTAGAAAGTATCCTTGTTTCTCGGATTAGAGCGAGTTCTATTTCCGTGCGATCGATCGCCGCGGCTCGTTGCACCTGCAATTTCTGGCCCAGCCTCGCCGCGATTTACAGGGAGTTACATTCGCACGAGTGCGCGAATCGCTCGGAAAGTAGAAAC